AGAAAAAATTCTTATATATGTAAATCGTTGTTTTACGCTTTATTATTTTGGTAAAAGGTCTTCATCATAAATAGATTACTCTTAATAAAAAAAACTCTACTCACATGGCTACCATTAAAACAAAAAAAGGGGAGGGGCTCTTAATTAGCGGAGATGTCAAAATATTGACGAAACCGAAACTTCGAGTAATAAAAAGAATATTTAGTAAATGGCAGCAAATTACTTTACCGTTTGCAAAAAATTATTGAAATAAAGAGGCCATCTATTCAATATAGAAATAATCAGAGTTTAGAAGGCTTAACATGACCGGGTCCGGTTAGCTTTGTTTGCAAACATGAGATTATGTCACGTTAACAACCTCAAAAGTCAATTTAAAACATGTTTAGTAGCAAAATGTGATACATACAAGTATAAATGTGATAGTATAGTAATACTCTTTTATGATTTTTTAGCTAATAAAATGGATTTAAGACTAGATTGATTTTTGTTTTCTGTTAAACCGCAGTAAATAAAAATTAGAAGGCTATTTGGCCCCGTCAGAATATGCGACAAGTTTGTATTAATCTCATTTACACGAAAATGGAATTAAGACAAGTTAGCTCCTAAAATTATCTATATGTACAGATATGTTTATTGCACTTATTAGTAAATAAATTGATTAGTTGCATTATGAGTTTAAATTTTAGCTATTTTTTAAAGTTGATAATCATAACGTACTTAATTAAACATGCGTGATGTAATTTGCATAGCTAAATTAAATGCTCTTTCACTTTAGTTACTGCGCTAAGTGTTGCGCAGTTTGGTTTGTGCGCAGTTTTTCTTCTGTTCTGGAATTTTGAGATTGGAATTTCCAGACTTATTTTAAAAAGCGCGTTTTCGTTATAAATTTTTTTTACATCTAATCGAACCTATCAAGTAGGTCATATTCAGTATAATCAATTCAATCGTTTTCATTTTTTATGTTTCAACATGTTTATTACCTTTATTAAATTTGTTTTTAAGCATATTTGTTTTTATTTTTTATATCGAATTTATAGAATGAATCAGATTGAAGATGAAGGTTTGTATTTATTTAGATGTGTATTATGTTACAGATGTATAATGTTATGTTGTTAGTTCTTAAATATATGTTTATTTTTAGTTGCTGAATTACTAAGAAGTAAGTTTTCTTTCATTTTGTTATTAACAAATGTTATAAATTGCATTTATATGTTTGTTAATTTAAATTAACCTTACAATATTAAAATGGTTTAAACGAACTTAAACGAACTTTTGTAAATGAATTTAATCCTCAAAGATTAATTTTTTTTTATTATTGAAGAAATTAAACTAGATTTAAGAGTCGGCTTAAATGTTTGTTTGTTTTTCTATTTAGATGATGACAATATTGAAGCAAGTAAGTTAAAAAGCATTTTTAAATTTTTAAAAAGAAATAAAAATACTTTTCAATATATATCTGTTTTCTTTGAGGTAGATTTAAAGTTTCAGGTTTTTAAAATCATATACATTATAAGATTTAAAAATGAGTCGACTTAAATATTTGTTTGTTTTTTTATTTAGACGTTGGTGATAATATTGGAACAAGTAAGTTATAAAGCATTTTTTAAATTTTTAAAAAGAAATATGTATTTTTTATTTTTAATTTTTAATATGTATCTGTTTTCTTCGAGGTAGATTTAAAATTTCAGGTTTTTAAAATCATATATATTAAAATATTAAATTCTTTTTTACTTTAAAAATATCCATATTATAGTTACACTGTGTTGTAGAAAAAAAAATAAAGTTTATTAATAAGGTAGTAGATTATTAGAGTAGATTAAATTGTTTGATCTATTAATCAACTTAATAACGTACCATTAAAGTGAAGATTTATTTTGGTTGTTTGTTAAAATTTAGTTAGAGTTTATTTAAAATTTAAATTCTTTAGTTAATCAAGAGAGATCTAATAAAGGTATTATTAAATTAAATTACATTAGTTGAATGTAGCATTTAATATGTATTTTATCGATATTTTAACGTCTAAACAATTAAGTGCTTTTATTGTTTAGATACAGAAGTAAAGAAAGAAATAAGTCAGTGTTTTTGCTATTAGATATTTGTTAATAGGAATTAGTTTATTTGTACTGCCACTGGAAATTTTAAAAAATCAAGTTCTTTAGCTTTTTTTTTTATACTTTTTTTTAGGGGAGTTGGAACAAAAACTAAGTATAAATTATGATTAGTTTAGTTTAATAAATAAAGCATTAATATTTAGAAGATTTAAAGTTTACTTTAGTTTATAGTTTTGGTTTAGTTTATAGTTTTGTTTTTAGCTTTAGTTATTTTTTTCTTACTTTAGACAACTTTATGGATGAAATGAGGGGGATGGGTAAAACAATTATTTAGATATGTATATATTTATATGTTAACATTATTTTATCGATTATTATATATTTATTTAAGTATATATTTGTCTTTAGTGTCAGGTGGAAGTATAGCTGGTAGGATTGTGTTTTATATTTTATATATTTTGTATGGAGAAATATATGCAATAGGTGAAAAAATTAATTAATAAATATGACACTATTGAACTGGTTGCATTATTGCCCTATATATTTATTTAAATACAAAATATCGCATGTTTAACCCTTATTAATTTGTTTTTTTTTTTTTTTTTTTTTTTCAGCATCTTCTGTTTCGAATGAAAATGGTGAGGTTATGCTAATTTTTTTTTTTTTTTAATAATTGCAAATGTATAATTTTAATTATACTCTTCTATTTGTAACTTTAGATTCCTTATCATTTGAACAATATCAAAATTATCGTTCCCAACACCTGGGACCTCTCTCAGAGAGGTCCTTCAAAATGGAAACGTAATGGCGGTATGGATGAGCCCTCCTTTAAATGGAGGGCTCATCCATACCGGGGTGTTGGGAGACACCGAAGAAAAAACAGCAACCAAAAGGTTGTAAATGTCTTCTATCAGTAGAGATATTTATGACTTTTTAGTTGCTGCTTTTTCTTCGGTTATTTTTTTTTTTAATTTTGTAATTTTTTGTTTCTGTTTTTTTTTTTAATTTTGTAATTTTTTTTTTAAATATATATTACGTTGTATATTTGATTTGTTTTGATCTTTTTTAATGAAATTTTGATTTTTTTCTCACCAATTAAACCTGACTTCAAATTTAAAGCCCTCTTAAATACCCCTCCCTAAATTCTAAATTCGAAAGTTGAATTGATTCATTATCCAATTATCATAATATAATGATGCTGCATTCTTTTGTTAAAAACAATTATTTGGTACTGCTTTTAAAATTTACCAACACCCAAGGCAATATATTTAGCTATATAAATACAATTTATTTATCTCGATTCCATTCTTAATCTTTTATGTTTATAGTTTGGCTACTTAAAGCATTTTATGTTTTGCTTTTTTTATTATGAATATTTTAAATCCGTTGTGATGTCTTTTAAATTAAACTAAAGTTTACTAAAAGCCAACATAAAAATTACGTTTTTGAACAACACCAAAAAGAACAGCTGCATCCCTACAGCAACTGCTGCAGTATCACAATAGGTTACCAAAAGCAGGTATACTGTTTTCCAGTTGTTGTTTTTTTTTTTTTTCATATATATCTACTTATTTATATAATACTATAGTGCGATTGTTTATATCTCATTCATTTTTTTTTTTGTTTATCTTTTGTTTATTAAGTGTTAATAATTTTATTCTTTGAATGATATTAGTTAAACAAGTCGGCTTTTCATTAAAGATATTGGTTTCAAAATTGAACATCATTGGCAAAATGCTTACAAAATTAGGTAGTTTTTAAAAATCTGTTTTCTATTTAATATACTTTTTTAATATACTTTTCTATAACAATTCTACTAATATGGAATCACGTAGCTTTTTAAATATGTTTAATTGTCGTCCCTATCGGTAATAAATATTTTAAATTATTTGATACGGTTTTCTTTACAATAGGCTATGCTTGGCTCCTCGGTGCTGTAAATGGTGGCTTCAACTTTGTTTTTTTTAAGAAAAATGTGTTTTATATATGCTTCTGTTTTAAAATATTTTTGTTACATATTTAACTATATATCATGTAAATAAATTTCTTTTAAAGATAAGTTAACTTAATACTTGCTTTTTTACGGATTTTTAAAAAGTGAACAAAGGTTTAAATATATTTTTTAACTGTCTTTTATGATTTTATCAATTTTATTAAATATTACTTCAAATATAAAATTTACTATATATAAATAAATATGAAAATTACTTAAAAAATATTGAGTAAAATCTAATTGCTTTTATTATTAACCTGATATATACAAAAATTAATGAAATAAAACTAATAATCTAACGCCAAGTTAAGGCAAAATGAAATAAATATGTTGATACACGTTAGCTATTATAGTAAATCCATATATTCCTTTGTTTTTTTATAATCAAGTTACTGGTGGATTACTAATTAAAAAAAAGGTTGGTTTAAATAATAATCTTTATCATAACATATAGGATCCGTATGCAGGGTAAGCCTTTTTCGGAATTGCGATATATTTTTCAACTTTAGTTTTTCCGGATATCCAACTTCTATGCCTGCAAGTTTGGGTGTAATATTTTAGATGTTTTAAAAAATATATTAATAACATTTAAAAGGTTTAGGTGCGATAGTGACATATTTTGAAGCTCTTCACTCAGTAAAATGAAAAGTTTAAAAAATAAAGAAACGACTCAGCTTAAAGCAAAATTAAGAGTAGAATATATTCCTAATATTTACCTAAACAATTTTACGGAATTTGAAAATTTGACATCGATTTTCTGTGCATATAAGTTAAGTCATTTTGTGGTTAACTTTATCTTTAATGAAGCTAAGAGTTCTCTTAAACTAAGAAGCCAAGAAAAATAAAAGTGAGCTAAACTAAAAAAAATGTATAAATAAATTTATATTTCATTAGAGAAAGTAAATAAAGATTAAATTGACAGTAATAACTTATTTACTACTAACCCGTATTACGGATTGCTTACTGTGTAAATTAATAATTTATTAGAGTAAGTAAATAAATATCAAATTGTTAATAATGATTTATATACTATTAACCCGTATTACGGGTTGCTTACAGCTAGTAAAATATGAAAACCCTAATCTAGAAAATATAGAAATTTATATTTATTTATATATCAATTTTTATAACTTTAGAAAATGACTGCAAACCTTTTATTAATGGAACCGTATTTTTAATGGAACATCGATCAAGCATATAAATGCTTTATATTATAAAATTTAACATTTGTTACAATTTTTGCAAATTTTAAAATACATTATAAAGATGGTTTAAAACATTTTTATTTTTTTCTGCTCAGAAGCATGCTGCAACTCACTCTACAAATAACAATGGTAGCAAAACAAGAAAAAAGAGCGTTAAACTAAATTTACTCTTTTTAATAAAATAAACTAAGAGAGCCATTGGTTAATCAATTTTTACTATTAAAACAACTGAAAAAATGCAATTATTTTATATTCGAAATTAAAAAAAAAAGTCTTAGAGACTTTTTTTTTTAAATTTCATCAAAAACTTCAAAAGATGTTCAAGATATTCAAGAGATTGAAGACCTTTCATATAATACGAGAGTTTCTGTATTTTCAATAAACGGGAATTTCTTTATTATATTAACTTATATTATATTATTACTTTTAAAACATTAAAACCCTTAAAAATCCTTGTTTATTTAGAATTGAAACCTAATGTTTATTTATAATTTAGATTCTTTACAAATTAAAAAGTAACGGAGCAAGTCATACAAATGTTGCAACACTTCTAAATACAAACTGCTCATATGGTATATACACCATAGAAATTCCCATGAAGTTATCTTTTCAAAATGCAAAAGGTAAATCTTGGTCGTTATACAGAACAGTAGCAGAAAATATAACTGAAAAATGTAAAAGATTTAATTCGCCTCAAAAAAATATAAAAAGCAAACATCAAACGGGTGAATAATATAAACCTTCTAATGTGGTGACAAACAACAAATAGAAAAACTGAATTTAAATCAGACTCTTTTTTTTTTATTCAAATATAAAAATAACAAATTAAAAAAAAAAACTCAATAATACGTAAAAAAATATTATTAGTAAAAAAAAAATCATTATTAACAAAAGAAGTAGAAATGACAAACCTATTTACAAAATAAGTTGTAACCAAATTTACTTAAATTAACCATTTTACAGAAACAGATATATTGCAAAAAGATCTGTTTAGAAAATATACAAAAAAATTTTTTAGAACTTTATATATATATATATATATATATATATATATATATATATATATATATATATATATATATATATATATATATATATATATATATATATATATATATATATATATTTATATATATATATATATATATATATATAAATATAATTATATTTAGATGAAAAAAAACAACTGACTAGCGGGACTTAAAGTTTCATGCCCGAAGGCAATTATCAGCCGTTAATACAAACAAAAAACGTAAACAAACCGTTACAAAAACGTAAAAATTACTGTAGAATGACATCTGACGTTTTAAACAAATCTACGTAAAAAACAAATAAAAAATAAAACACAAAAAGCCGTTATAGTTTGTTAGTCCCCTGTGTCAATTAAGATAAGAGGAGTTTTTTTCGAATGTCGACACTGAGATACAATTTCGCTTTTTTTATTCAGTAGGTTTTTTCCATTATGTGATAAAATTACATATTTTTCGTAGAGACAAAGGTGGCATATTTTTGTTGCTAGATTGTAAGGTTTACAACGTTTGACAATTTTCTATTCTATAATGGGCTTTATGTTTTGGTCTTTTAAGTTCTATACCTCCTTAGATAGTTCTGTGTCATTTCTATATTTAACTGATGCAAATGATTTGAGATGGTTTGCGTATCTTAGTTAAACTGGTGTATTACTAATGCCAAAATATACTTTTTTATTACAATCATAATGACTGGAACTTACGGTTGCTTGATAGACAATATTGTTAGATAAACATTGATTGTTTAAAGGGCAAATGGCTTTATCTACGCAGTTACATTGGTTGGTTTTTAATTGATTTTTGTTGTGTAAAATTTTGAAATTATGCGAATTTATGATAGGTTTTAGGTTAGGCATGCAACTGTTGCTAATCTTAATGGAATTTCGGTTGAATATTTTATGTAGCTTGTGGCCGGCTGGAAAATGTAAGTCAATAAGGGCTAGAAAACGGTTTCCTATTTTCGTTTTGACGTTTAAACTGAACGGAGGGTTATACCAAATAATATTATGTTTACGTTGCTTTTTTTGTTGATTTTGACTTGAGATTATTTGTGGTTGGTAGGTAAGGTTCGATTTGTATCCCGATTTTTTTAAAGCCTCTTCATACGGTGGAATAGCCTTTTTAAATAATATTTCATTACTTGACATGGAAGATAATCTTTGTTCAATATTGCGAGGGATTGCTTTTATTATGCTTGGAGGGTGGTTAGAATTAGAGTGGATGTACCTTATTTGATTATCAGGTTTAGAATATGGTTGAAACGTATCGTTACTTAGATTTAACGTAACATCGAGGTAGTGAACAATTTTTAAATTTGATTGAATGGTGATTTGAAAATCGTTTTTTTTTTTAAATGAGTGTTATATGCTTTTTGATTTTTTCCATTTGCTGACCGTTTTTGTTCTTGAATACAGCAAGACCGTCGTCACGATATAGGCCGAAATCTTCTTTATTATAATTTTGTGAAATTTGATACAGTATGAAAATACCTATTAATTCGCAAACTTCAGCACCATCAAATGCTCCCATTGTTACATCGAACAACCCACCTCTTTTTTTAATCCATGCTTCATCGTTGTTGAAGATAAGAGATTTTCTTGCATGCTTTATTAATGCTTTATCTTCGCTTTTGATAACGATATGAAGGTCAGCAAAAT